TGTGACCAGGATGCCTTCAAAGAAGTCACCCATTATCACGCTATATCTAACCCAGCTGGTTTCCCCTTGAGGCCTCAGAAAATGCCAAAAAAAAATAATCTGTTGCCTGAAGCTAAGCCTGTAGCTTAGCAAGCATGTAGTTTACTGTCCAAGAGAATTAGCATGTAGAGGGTGTTACACAGGAAACTAATCCATTTAGAAAAGTGACAAAATGGAACAAATTTACTAAAGCAGGTTTGTTCCACTGGTGTTATCAATCTCTTCAGCTACTCACACAGATGACCCGAACTGAACCCAACTGATTTTCTATAGTAAATTAAGTATATTTTTCATGGAAAGACATTTTATCAACTATGAAATTAGGCTCAACTGCACATTAAAAACATGCACAACAGCTGGTAACAGCCTGAAGATGCCTCTGAAAGATACACAGTGGCTCGTTCAATTTAGAGTCAAGTGCAATTTGATGGTGTCCAAATGCTCAGTAAGATACAAGAGAAAATAGTGCCATCTAAATTATCTTTACAAACTAGTACATTGCATACACACCAGCATAACCATAATTGTGTTCTACCTTAGGAAAGAATAGTATGAGCTGTCCCCATCACCACTTCAATCAGTTTAATTGTATCCGTTTAACTTTTAAAGCACATACATTATTACTTGATAGAAACAAGTTTTTAAATGCATATAGATATTTATTTACTCTCATTATGTTGGTTCATTCTGAACAGAAGTGCAGGATAGATGTTTGTATGAATTACAGCAGTTGACCAACAGCCAATAAAAGTCAATAATTCAGAACTCCTCTATTAAACTTAACAGGTCATGAGTATAAAGTTTATGTCAAAAGCCTAATGACAGCCATTCTGCCTACAGAGAGCCAAGGAAAGAGACAAATATTTACTTTATGTAAACTATTGCTGAGCATGTTACTTAGGGCAAGAAAGTGCTGTTCAGCTTGGCTAGTAATAAACCCCAGATGTCAATGAGAAATTTTTGAAGCTTATTTTAGAGCACATAACCATAATACCAACTGCAGAACCACATACACTTAAACCTTCTTTTTATATATGTATATATTTTTAAGGCATGCACTGATTTGAATGCCAAGAACTGAGTAACACTGGTAACTGCCTAGATAGCCCGGAAGAATAAATATGACTTCTGCAAAAGGCTAGATCAAGTCATAGGGAGGACTCTGTTATTCAAATTTCAGCAAGGTTAGCTTGCAGGTTTTATAACTTTAGTTCTATCCACAACCTGGGTCCCAGCATGTTCAGGATTGTGTTCTGACCACCTATTCACTAACTTAATTTGTGGTGGAAGATACAAAGCAACATGGGTAAAGCAGCCAATGTAAATCAATGTAAATCAAGACACATTATCAGGTGTAATTAAAGGCCAAGTACATGCACCAAAGGCAATGCCAATTAGAATAAGATAGACTACACTTTTATGTACAGATAGATACATGCTCAATTGTCAATTTGAACAAAGGTGAAATGACTAAGTAATTTATGAACACACAACATATCCTTAACCCTCCCATACAAACCTAAGTAGAACAGGGTACTATACTTACACAATTTTCATGAACACAGGAGAAAAACTACAAAAGCAGGACAGTTCAAATGACACTGTATTTGGGTGAAGAGGAAAAAGGTATATTATTCCTTGCCTTTTTGCTAGCTCCAGCAAAAGAGGCTAAAATGTCCCAACAGAGTTAATAAAAAATCAGAATTCTAATTCATAGGAACTGTTGAGATTTCAGAATTCCTGTATAGTTTCACTCTAAAGCAAGATCTAAGTATTTCTTAAGAGATTTGGTGAAATAATGACCAAATCCCAGCAATTTGCAGAATACGCAACAGAATTTTAAAATTCTGAATTAAATATTTCTTCCTTCTTTTTTAATATTTTGTCACAACACATAGCTTGATCTACAGATTACATACAGATATAAAACTTCATTTTAACAATCTAAACAGATGTAATTTTGATTGAGAAGGGGTGTCAGCTGGTACTATGAATGAGTAACTCACGATTTTAAATATAAGCTTTTTAAATACATTGTTTTACTGTCTGTCTTATTTTACAATGAAAGCAGTAGTCAGATATTCTAGGACTTGGGAATGAAAGCAACACTTCTGCTGAAATAAAAGACCCAACACCATAAAAGTTCACAAAAAAGTTAAACTAAACCCCAGAAGCTCTGAAACAATTTCAAAGACTGCCATCTGAATCTGATGTAAGAGTAGACTGCCCCTACTCTTCCCCACCATCCTTTCAGTTTGTTTCCTCTTTTTCTGTAGGAACTGTCCATAGTTATACAACTTCCTTAAGAACAACAACCTGGTCAAAACACTTCCTGATAGGAAAATTATCAAAATTTTCATAGTCATCTTTATAATGTCTCTCACAAAGACATGACATAGCTCAAGGACTGTGATGGAGTGCTACTGAGACTTTTGCTTCTACCTGCTCCCTCTGCAATTTGGTACTCCCCTTTGGTGCTTGGGGAAAACAAGACAAGGCTGTAGCTACCTAATTGCATACCGCTAAGCAAACTCACTAGACATCATTGAAGAGGCTGCCCAACTGGTAAAAGCAAAGATGACAGAATTTTCTTCTCTAGACTCTCTGTGGGTTACTGCTTTGGCTGCAGGTTTATAAAGAAGTTACTCCTTCCCCATTGTTCAGTGAATGCATGAGCAATTTTCTTGACATGAATATCTCACGGTGATGTTTTCTGTTTTGAATATAGCCTGTACAACGATACAGCAGGAGGCACCTGTACCTCTAAAACCTGCACTGTTCCTCTAAACCCAGACTTATTCATTCCCATTTCTTTGTATATAAAAAGGAATTTAGAGATAGAAATATGTGATATGGAGAGACAGAGGAGAGGTCAGCCATTAGAAAAGCAGTACAGCAATATCCAATGGGCTGGAAAATCCTGGAAAGCAGTACTCTTAAAGGAGGCAGTGAGTAAATGAACACTGGATAAAGCATAAGTTTAGCATCAAAAGGCCTGAATACCAGAGGGTCAATTAATCTCCTGTGTCTCCAAATATTTTCATCTTAAATACACAATTTATTTCTGTGCACTCTATTACTAAAAGGAACTGTGGGAAAGGAAGAAGTTATTTCTGCAATAGCTAGACTAAAAGATCTGAAATATATATCTCTTCAGTAGTTACAGGGAGAATTTATACCGTTCATCTATTTCTAGCATTCAACACCTGATTTCAGGAGATGAAAGCATTTAAAACAAGCATCAGGAAAATATTGCTTGTAAAATAGTCCAATGTTGTGGAATAGAAAACATGAGAACCCTATAAAGTCAGGCACTTAAAAATCACATGTTTAAGAAAAAAAAAAAAAAAAGTAAACATTTGGGAAGAAGAACTTTTATATTAACAGACAAATGAGTAGGGAATGAGTAGGACAATCATGCACGAACACATTGCCAGAACAGTCTCCAAGTTTCCAGTGTTCTAAGGAGACTTACATAACCCCACTTGGTCTTCATCCATGGTAAATTTAGGAGTCCCTCCAGCAGTATTGCACAGAAATAAATTGTCCTGTAGCAGTAGGGTTAACTTTTTTACTTCTGACTTCTGTTCTGACATTCACAGGATTGGATATTTACAGGACCAAAGCTTCGAGTAATAGAAACTGGCATAAATCTACCAAAAGACAAACTGTATGTCAAGTAAATATTTGTTCTTTCTATCACTGTGCTTGAAGTTTTAATGAGCTTCTGCTTATTAACTTTTATGTGCCGAAATTTGATTCTTTCCTGTCCAGATCTCACTCACTGCACTCTCATTCATCAGCTTAAGAAAAACAGTTTTGCCTAATGCAACAGATTTATCTCCAGTGTATATATAATATATTGTATTTCTGTCACTATTCAGACATACAATAACATTTTCCTCTTTATAATATCTGTTTCCAGTTTGGTGCCTTAATTAATAATCTGTAGTCCAGCATTATATTTCTCATCTGCACTTGCAGCACTTGTTAGTGGTAACTAATCTGTTAGTGATAACTAATCTTTTTCTCCTACTACAATGAACCTAGAGCTTTAACTCTTAGATGAACCTTCTATTCTATGGCAGTATCAGTTAAAAAAGGAAAATACAGTCTGAGTAACATTAAAGTCTTCATGTGCAATATCGTTTCCCTTCAATAGTTTCTAGTGGTCCTACTACATACTTATCTAAGAGTCATTTGCATAACAAATTCAGACCATTTTTTGTAAGATAGTAAAAAACCCTCTTTTTGATGTAGGTATCATTGCTCATAATGGAAAAGTGATAAATGAAGTTTTCAAACTTCTCTCAAAATTACATGTAAACTTTTAAATCAGCGTTCTCTCTCTTAAGTTAAATTTGAGGCTATGTGTTCCAGAGATGCTGAGGGATTTGGCTTTGTTACAAGAACACATGATCTGCGATTACAGAAAGACTTTCCACTGAAAATCCAGAAAGGCTAGGCTGGTTAAACTAACCATTTAACTCAAGAAATCCGAAAATCATTATTTGCTCAGACAACAGCAGAATCCTCTATGCACTGGAGAAAGCATCACATCTTTGTCTTTGCATTCATACTGTGCCTGATACATTCCTGGTATCTCCAAAGTGACATATACATCTATCATAATTGCTCTCTGCTACCTTTCTCTGAGGTGATACACCCAAAACCATTCAGTAATCTCAATTTTTTTTTAAAATACATTCTGTTGATTATTATGAAATTGAGATAGCAGATATGATAGGCTGCCTTAACAGCTGGAGAAAAGTCTTTTTTAACCTTTTCCAGAATGAATGGCAGTTTAAGCTCTTGGAGCGGCTTCCCTATATGAAACAAAGAACAGTAAGCAGCAGAGAAAATTAAGATCTGAAATGAAGAGTTTCTTTCCATATTAGGAAAGATTATCTTAAAATTAACCCTTACTCTCAAGTTATATACATGATTTGGAGAAGTCTTACCTTCTATGACCTGAGCTGCTGAACCAGCATGGATTGACAGGCCAGAGAGCAATAGCAGCAAGTCCCAGGTCCACCAGGTGTGCCTGGAGCAGGTGTGCCAAAAAATAAAGGGGGGGTAAGGCATGGAAAATAATGAGTCCAAAATGCAGTACAGAAGCACAAGGGTAAAAAAAGAAAAAGTAAAATTTAGAAGTGAGAGTTCTTACCATGGGAGCATTTTCTGAAAGTCAGTTGAAAGACCTCCAGTGAGGAAAAAGTTCAGTGCACATGAGTTTTATGCTTACAAAAATAAGAAGTTAATAAAAACTTGAGCCTGCTGTTTCTCCTCCAACGTTCAGACACAAGTGGAACAAAGGCAGCTCTCAGGCTCTCTGTGTGACTCACTGCAATTCAGTGCTCCAGCTCTGAAATCTGACTCCGTGTAGACTTTCCTGTCAGACCATTGCTGAAAACTTCCTACTTTATTCATTGATGGACAACCCTTACTGCTGTACATCACCCCAACCTTGTTATTATCCAGTCTTGTCTTTAACTACCGTGTACTCTAACAGTAGCATAGCTTCTCCAGCTTCCCCTTTCCCTCCGCCCACTCATCACCTTCAATCCAATAAAACATGACCTCCAACATCCTTCCATCCAGCATTATATAGCCAATGATATGCATTCTTGCATTCTTATACAGAATAGGACATTCCTCTGACTGTTTTAACCAAACTTCAACAGAAGAAAGTTTTAAGGTACAAGCAGGACAGAGCAGTCACAGTTAAATTGCAACATACACCTGGAAGCGTTACTGTCCCATAGATTTTCTGTCACCTACAGAGACATTTTGAGCCACACCCTTTTTTCCTGACAATTTTTCTCTAATACTCTTATTTATAAAGAGTTATACCCTGTATGTAGGTTAAGACTGTTTATCTACCTCAGCAGCTGTACATATAGGAGTCTGCTATAGACACCCTGTAGCTAAGAGTTTCTAATAGTTTCCATTCTAAATGTTATTTCACCCCTCCCTCCTAACTTCATGAAAAGCCTTTTTTTCCACATGTCCTTCAAAGCCAATTCTTGCTCAAGGAAGAATTTTTGGAAAAATAAGTTTGAGATCAATAAGACAATTTTTAAGTCACGCAATTTCTAACAAAGACTGCAATTGTCACTTTTTGACTGGGACAGAAGGGAGCCTGGAAAGCTTTTCATATGGAAAGATGCCAGTTTTCTCTTGGTAGATCTAGACCAGAAGGTGCTGAAGATTGCTCTAGGAGATTAAAAACTAAAACTGGTTTTACTTAGTTTTTTTTTTTTGCATCGGGTTTTATTAGTTTTGTTGTTATTTTTTCAAGTAAGGAAATACTGAGCCTAGGGCTTTAAAAGCTGGAGTCTTGATTCTGCCCCAGACTCTTCTTTTAAGTTAGAAACCACAACAGCTCAACTCTCTTCAGGTACATTTTTAACTGAGCCATAGACAAGCATTATTAGCTATCCACCTTCTGCTTAATGATAAGGAAGCAAGAAACTGAACTATTGTTTAATCAAGTTTCTTCTTATAAACACACACTTTGAAAGGTTTTTTTTGAGGACCTTTTTTCTGTTCCATAATACTACATCAGGGCTGAAAAAAAATTTCATTATTCACCTTTTCTACATGAGGCTGCCAGCTCTTTGTCTGTCCGTAAAGTTTCTCCATTGTTATCAAAACCAGCAATGCTGCTGATAGGAAGTGTTTGCAACATTTGTGCAAATCATATACCAAAAACATTTATTTCATTTTAAGACTTTTTCTAGGACTTTAGATTTATGTTCTCCCTGTTTTTTCAAGCATTCTTGTAAAATGTCTGTATATACGAGACTGGCTCACTTTTTCCTTTTTATTTTTTTTCAGGTAATCTTTAGCAATAGCTACCAAGAGCCATTATTAGTCCTTGTCAAACTATTTTTTAACTCAGTTCCTTCTTTCAATAGTAATCCCTCTACCTCTCTATGAGTAAAATGGATAATGCCTTCTGCTGCACTACAGTTTTTGTCTGGTGTATATGGCCAAAATATATGTCTAGCATATTTAAGAGATAAATGTATTATCAGACTCCAGAGATCTATAAAATTTAGATGACTATTTGGTAAGGATTATTTTTACAACATAAGCTGCAAAGATTTAATTCTTAAAAAACCATTTCTTCTATTGTTTATCATTTGATGGATTTTCCCTCTGATTTTTGAAAACCCATAGAAAAAAAGAAGCACCTCTCCTTCCCTCACAGGTTTACTGTTCATGTAGATGATCTAAATGAAATGCTGCTGAGAGAGCCTTTAGTTTCTGCTGGATATTTTAATATGGATGTCTGGCCAATGCTGAATAATTTTAGAGCTACTGGATAAAGGAAAGAAAGGCAAAGCGGTCTTGACCTCTGTGTTCCATTACTTTTAAACAGACAGTAGTGGAGGAATCTCTAAATACAAATAGTTTATTACCCCTGCTCCTGCAGGGCCTTGAGATTTTTTAAGTTTCTAGTGTTCGTTTGTAGTCTCAAGAGTTATGGAATATTAACAGGCTCTCTATATCTGCTGTATCTATTTATGTCTAACTTGTTCCCCACAAGGGCAGTGACATTTGTACACATTCACTCGGTTTTAACCTTGCTGTTTGTTTCTTCCTTCCTTTTCAAACTCAGCAAGACCTCTTTGAATTAGGACATAAGCACTTTTCTTCAGTACTGTCTCCAGCTGCCTTCAACTAAGTTGGAGTTTTCCTGCTGGTTAAAAATCTCCATTTTCCAGGCAGAAGTTTTGTTTACTTTTCTCAGCTCTGTCAACTGATTGCATTCCTTAAGACTTGAAATGGCAGACTACAATTCTGCTGTTTCGGTTCTTGTTTATATGGCTGGGTGTTCTTATATTTCTGATCATCTCTGTGTTCAGATGTTGTTTTTTTTTCCTCCTGACTACAATACAAATTTCTTAGCTCCACATTTCTAGCCTCTATAATCTTAGAATTTAAGAACCAGAAGATTTTCTTGTTCAAAAATAGTGTTAGAGTAGCAGTATGCACAAAAGCCTGAGTCAGTTAGGAACCATACTAAAAAAAGAATAAAGGTTTCCTCTTTTACCTAGACTTCTAGTCATCCACAATATCCTCTGGCAAGGAGATCCACTGCTCAGTTATGCCCTTCATAAAAAAGCCTCTGCTTCTTTGATTTTGATTTTGGTCCTGGGGTTCTTTGATCTCTCCAAGTTCTTGTAGTGAATAGGGATCACCTATTCACTGTTCATTCTGTTTTCTCCATGCTCTTTGTGATTTCTGAAGCTTTCTGAAATCGCTTGTCTGATTTCTGTACTGAGTGTGAACTTACTTGGTCATTCTTGTAATGCAACCATTCCACACCTCTGGATATCTCTTTAGCCCTTCTCAGAGTTTCGTGCTCTCAGAGTTTCTGTGTTCTAGTATTTCACTTTTGATCTTTGGTGGAGGTGGGGGCATTGTGACTGCACAATGATTAAGCACATTAATGGTTAGGATGACTGTACGTCACAATTTTTTAAGTGACATAGCAATGTTCTCTGTATTTTCTCTGATGAGAAACACAACCTTGACCAGGGCCAAGGTGACATTTTCATGGAACTCTCATAAGCTTAGTAATAAGAAATAATTTTATGTGTAATTAGGATTTCTCCTCCCTCTTTCTTTTGTAGTAAGCAAAGGTTTGTTGGGCACACAGACAGGTAGAAGGGCAACCAGACTAGTGGGAGGATGGATGAAGACTACAGAGAGAAGCGTGCAAAAAGGAGAATAAGACTGAATGAAAAGCCTGGGACAGGAAGTTGGGAAGAGGTGAGGACAAAGCTAAGAAGACCTCTGGAAGCCAATTAGGAAGCAGAAAGGAAAAATAAAATCTGGAAAAGCAGGCTTAAGCAGGATGATCTCCAGCATTTGCATATAAATAAGGGAACATTATTAGAAAAACCCAGACCCTTGCTGGCAAATCAGGATTCTGGGGTACCTCTCTGAAGTGCACGTGCACTGATGTACATAGCACAGGGAATAAACATAATGATTCGAGATCTCTGTGCAGCTGCAGGCCTACAATCTTGTTGGAGTCACAGAGACATGGTGGGATGGCTTACAGATTATTTCTGTTGACAGCAGGTTGACAGAGGTGCTCCTTCCTCTCTGTTCAGCGTGGTGAGGTCATGCCTGGAGTCCTGTGTCCAGTTCTGGGCTACCCAGGACATACTGGAGAAAGTTCAATGCAGATACACAAAGATGATTATGGGACAGGAGCAACTCTCCTGCAAGGAGGGTTGAGAGTTAAGACTGTTCAGCCTGGAAAACAGAAAGCCCAGGGGAGGATCTTATCAATGTATATCAATCTCTGAAAGGAGGATGCAAAGAAGATGAAGCCAGCCTCTTTTCAGTGGAGCCCAGTGGTAGGACAAAAGGCAATGAACACAAACAGAAACATAGGAAGTTCTCTCTGAACATCAGCAAACACTTGCGAGGCATTGTCACGGAATGGACAAGGTGGCTGTTCAATATCCATCCTTGGAGATATTCAAAAGCCATCCTCATAGACACAGTTCTGGGAAGCCTACTGATTGAAAAGGAAGGCTAGACAGAAGTGATTTCACTTTGGTGTTGGCCATCAGGTCTTACAGCAAGTTGTCAACATCTGGAGCCCTTTACTGGTAGGAATACTATATTCATGCTGATTGTTTCTTCTTCCTCTCCCCTAAGACATATTTGCTTTTGACTTTGGGACTTTAAAATTTTTAAACAAAATTCATCACATAAAAAAGGAAGCTAAGATATAAATTAAAACTAAGATCTATTCAGAAAAAAAAAAGCCATCACATATTAATCTGAAATAATTGAGGTGGAAGAGCAGAAGTTTCTGATCGCATGAAGTTTAACACACAGAGTTGTCACCATCTGTCATTGGAAAACTGTCAGTCAAGCAAGGCCACTGTGTATGATGATCTCAGCATGACGGCTACATTTGCTGGCAGGCTGATATAATCACACTTGTACTGTAGAATATATATTCCTGATGAACACCAAACTTCACGCCTGAAGTATCAACACTCCATGTTGCAGGGAGGTAACTTTATTTGCCAACACTGAGCAACAGTGTCACAAAGATCTTCCAAACAGATTTCTCTTTCCTTTTCAAATCTGTGTTACACAGTAGCTCAGCTGCCATATTATTTCGAGAAAATCAAGGCATCCAACTATTTTAAAACTGGGATAATATAATAATAATTTTTAATGGTTAAGAGAACTGACTATACCTCGAAACAGAAAAAAAAAAAAAAAAGCATTTTCAAATAATTTTCTAAATAGTCAGTTGGAAAATTATTAAGAAAAAAAAAAGAAAAAAGAAAAAAAGTCCAAACCATCTATTATTAAGTTTAAATGGATATAAATAAATAAACACCTTCAAAGCAGAAACAGCTCTAAATAAAAATGGCAATTTTTATGTCTTATGTTTCACTTTTCAGTTCACAGAATGGATTTTTTTTCTTCAAGAATAATTTTCTTTGAGATTATTGTTTGTCAAAGAACTTTTTTAAGGACAGTACA